GGGAGAATTAGACGTGCTGATTGCTCGGCCATCTGGTCCCCCGGTGTCGGTGTACGATGACACGGTGGCCGTTGCGTTCTCCAAATGGCCACTTGCTTTGGCCAACTTCAGCCTTTGCACCGAATATGGATTGGGCAGTCATTGCACTTTTTATGGACTGAGGGTCCGTGAACCGTGCCTCAAGTAATTCTCGGCTCACACGATTGTCCTGTCTTGCGAGAATTTCGGCCTCATTAAATTTGAATGTGTGGCCGGGTCTCGTAAAATGAGCCGCAACTCGAGAATTGGCATCCTTTGCTTCACCTGCCGCGTGTTCGGCAATTCGCGTCCTGAGAAGTCTGCCGGTTTCTCCGACATAGTTGCTTTGCCCACAACTCCACTAGATCTTGTAGACGACAGCAGACGCTTCCTGCCGTGGCAGTAGATCAGAGCCCGCACGCCGTTCAACAGACCACCAAAACTCACGAAGGTAATTACGGTTAATTGTCGCTGTATGTTTTCGATTATGACTGTATTCTGTTAAAGAACGGCCACAACAAAATTCGTGAATTAATATGTCTAAGATAAAAAAATAAGTTTTTTATAACAAGTTACCTCCTTAATAAGTGTTTTAGTTAGATATTTCGGCGTCGAATATCTGGGTACTTAACTTTTTTGAAGATAGGGTCAGGATCAAATGGGAAATGTTGGCCGGTTTTTTGAATTTCCGAAAAATTAGGGAAACATCTTCTGTTTAACATGAAAGAACATAATTGTTTCTGTATACCGGGGCCATTTTCAGTATATTTTACTATTGCTTATTTCTTTGATCAAAAGAGCACAACAGAGTGACAAAAGTTGTTGTTCGATACTTTCGAATCTGATAATCTTCTGCCTGCTCTGTTTCAGGTTTTTATATTCAATGATTATCTTCTATGTCTTGAAAATATTTGGACTGGGTTCGTTTACGGCGTTTCGGAAAAAAACTTTTGACATTTCGCGATATCGCCTGTAATGCTCCTGTTGGTCACGGTTGTGGAATAGCTGGTATACACTGCGTAACGTCGAATTCCGGTGGTAAGTACGCACTAAGGCAGGTCTGGACGGAGCTGTCAAAGTCGTCCCAACGCATACATACGATAGAAGACGGTAAGTCTGTGAAGGTTAGGCATGTACTAAGAGCAATAAGGGGAGAATAG